GCGCAGGTTCATTACCTGGGTATATTGTGTGATGCCAGGTTTGCGGTATGATTGTTCCTGCCACCACAGTACTGAGCAGAGTGCCCAACAGTTAGTTTTTCAACCTTTGAATGCCTCCCTCCCTCCCTCCCTGCCTCTAGTAATCCACAGTGTCTTTCGTTGCTTTATGTCCATGTTATCCACTGTTTAGCTCCCACTTATAAGTGACAACATGTGGTATTTGGTTTCCTGTTCCTGTGTTAATTCACTTAGGACAATGACCTCCAGCGGCATCCATTTGCTGAAAGGGGTATGATTTTGTTTTTTGTTGTGGCTGCATGGTATTTCCATGGTGTAAATGTACTGTATTTTCTTTATCCAATCCACCACTGATGGGCACCTAGGTTGATTCCATGTCTTTGCTATTGTGAATAGTGCTGTTTGAACATATGAGTGCATGTGTCTTTTTGGAAGAACAATTTATTTTCTTTTGAATATACACAACCAGTAATGGAATTTCTGAGTCAAATGGTAGTTCTATTTTTAGTTCCTTAAGAAATCTCCAAACTACTTTCCACAGGGGCATTCCTACCAACAGTGTATAAGCATTCTCTTTTCTCTGCAGTCTTGCCAGTATGTTATTTTTTTACTTTTTAATAATAGCCATTCTAACTGGTGTGATGGTATCTTGTGGTTTTGATTTGCATGTCTCTGATGATGAGTGACATGGAAACGCTACCTCTTTTAAAAGTTCTGACACTTAGAATGTTCTACTCTACATACAGCCACACTCTATCCACTTGTAGTTCTGCTTTCTGAATCTGATCTAAGTATCCCTCCTCTGACTTAGTCACTTCACTGTGCTTCTTTATTCATTCACTCTGTCAACACTTATTCTACAGCCATGGTGTTGTCCCATGTGAGACTCTGGGGACACAAAGAGAATTGCTGACACTTTTCTGTTCTAGAGGATCACACAGTCTAGTGGGGACACAGACATCAAGATAGAGAAATGATCATAATTGTGGCAGGTGCCATGCTGTGGTTAGGAAGGAAAGTGCCAAGGAACAGAAAAGAGGGAGAAACTAATTCTGGCCTTGAGAGCATTCAGTAAAGCCCACAATCCCAGAGAAGGTGATTTTGCTCTCTGTTGAAAAGATGACTAAGATTCTGTCAACTAAAGACATTTTATGAAAGAATTCTGCATACGAACAAATGTGAATGGGCCAGTTTTATGCAAATGACAGTGATAAGTCCAATATGGCTGAATCTGAGTGACAGGGATGAAGTTAAAGGAGTCAGTGTGTGAAGGGTTTTATTTTCAGAGCTTACAAATTAGGCTTTATGCCCCATGCAATGAAGCTAACAGGGATTATGAAGAGCAAATGACATGATCAGATTTGTCCTTAGGAAGATGACTATGATAACGAAGGTAGAGTATTGACTACAGTAGGGGGAGTCTTGTGTTAAGAAGCTATTGCAAAATTCCAGACAAGACATGGTGAAGACCTATATTCCAGTGTTAGAAAGATAGGAGTAAAATCTGAGAAGTTACTAATGCCACCGATGTTAACATATTGAATATGGGAACCAAAGGAGTGGGAGAAGGAAAAGGTAAATCTATTTTCCTTACTTGAGAGACTAAAGGGATGGTGACATCGTTAACAACAACATCAACAACAATATACAGAGAGCAGAAGATTTGGGGAATAATTATAAGATAATAACATCTTCAGGTGGGAATATACAGAAGACAGCTGGAAATGTGGATCTGCAGCTCGGGGAATGTCAAACTTGGAAATAAACTGAAAGAAAAACCCCAGACCAAATAAGCAGAACAAAATAGTTCAAAGGAACTCAGTTGAATACCTAGTGAGGCTTTACTGTGACCTCTCTTATTCTTTTAATTCCATTATTTTTGCCAAAGATGCTGTTGACACTATGAACTCATTCAGAAGACAGTAATATAAACAAAATGGATGAAAAGAGCTTAGTTTGCTCCTTTATAATTCTGCATTTGGTTTAGTTTTGTAGTTTGCAACAAATGCAGTTCATTTATCTGTATTACATGTCATATTGTAATTTGTCATTCTTATCATATCAGACTTTCCTATCTTCCCCAAGACATCTTCCTGAGGAAAAGTAATTTAAGGCATTTCAGGATCTCGTATTCTTAAAATAAGGTCCTTCACACACACAAGTTCTGAGAAGTTACCAACGGGTCTCACAATTGCACAGAAACCCAGTTCTCTCTTTTACCATGTGGAATCTGCCTTTTTTTTCTTTTTCTTTTTTTCCTGACTCTAAACAGATAGCTACCACAGAAGACAATGTCCATGAACCTGCTTGGAAGATGCTGGAAAGCCACTGAGTTAGCCATCAACCTTTATGAAACTGTCTCCCTCCAGTGCTAGCATGGCTGGTTTTGACTCCAGCTAACTACTACCAAAGATGTCTCCTGTCCTGCTTCTTTGGGTCAGATAGAAGGCTGCTCCAGCCTCTCGCTGCAGTCACTATTTTAGTTTTATGTACCCCTGCTTCTTCTGGTGCTATATATGGAATACAAAGCAGAAGTCTTCAGTGTTTCCAAAATTGCTCAAAAATTTTGTAAAGGATGCTTTAGGATTTTTGTCATCGACACACTCAAGGCTACATTTCGGAGGGTGGTGGAATGAACCACGCAACTTCCATGGTTTGGTTCCTTCTACTCTCAAAGCATTGAATTTATATGAAGCTTCTCTATGTCAACTCTCTATTGCCATAGGATGGACTACTTCCTAAAAGACTCTTCAGTTCATGATGCAAATAGGCTCCTGGCAGGCCCAACCTTTAGGACTCTCCAGATGCATCTAATCATACCTGACTCAAGGTAAATACTGATTGGGTGATCATGTGTTATGCTGTGTATCTCAAGTAGAATAACCAGGATAAAGTCTATGTAACCTCCAAATAGCCAATGGAAAGGAAGTGTCAAGTCAAAAAGAACTAATGCTATCTCTCAGACATTTATTTTGAGAAACTCAAAACACTATCCCATTATTATATTCAAACAGAAATTTGATCAGTCTAAAGCAATATCAGCCAGAAGACAGATATATTTCTAAACAAATATATAGAGCTGAAAAGGCCAACTTGTATAAGGAAAATCCATTTTTCAAATGATTGTGCATCATTTAATTTTTACAACATCATGCATGAAAGTTCAGTTACCTTAGCCTTTGGAAATAATAATAAAAACAGACTACCATGCATCCATTTACTTTGGGTCTGCTAACTTTATTAGTTTTAATATTAATAAAAAGTTATTTATTATGAGTATGCTGATCAGATTAATTCTAACTGCAAGGTTTCCCCAGTGATTATGGTTCCGCATAGAATTTTCAAAAGAATTTAGAAGATACAAAACTTCTTCCTGTGACTAATTTTCTTTATAGTGTAACACTACTAAAAATTGTTTTGCAAATTAAAAGCACTTTCTTTTCAGTGAATTATTTTTAATTTTTAAAATTATTTTTTAAATGTGGGTACATAGTAGGTATATATATTTATGGGGTACATGAGATGTTTTGATATAGGCATGCAATGCATAATAATCACATCATGAAAAATGGGGCGTCCATCCCCTCAAGCATTTATCTTTTTACAACTTTTACTTATCATGCATATATGTCTGTCTTAAAGAAGAAACAAAAGAGAAAAAGGCAAGAAAAGTGAATACAAATGAAAGGAAGATACATTTAGTCACCAGCCTCATATCTGACCCTAATGCATAAAGGCTGTACTGAGGGCAATTGCTGGGAAATGCAATTTCAGCTTTTATTTTTTTTTAACATATGTCATGGTGATATATCTACTAATGCCAATGCTGTGTAGAGAATGGGAACCTCATCCCAGAAGTATTTCAGTTTTCAAAAATCACTCAGGAAGAGTTGTCAAAAATATTCTGAACTATATTCTAATTGCTGTAACTCACTTGGATTTTGACAAACACAATAGGTTTGGGTTTTTAAATCTTTTTTTTAATCAAACATTCACAAGCAAAATGTAATGAAATTTTCTCTATGTAACTTAGATCAGATTTCTATATGAATCCGAATATATATGTAGGCCTTGAATGAATAAAAGAGTATGTGCCAAGAACATACACTGGGGAAAAGATAGTCTCTTCAATAAATGGTGCTGGGACAACTGGATGTCCATATGCAGAAGAATGAAACTAGACCCCTATCTCTCGCTACATACGAAAATCAAATCAAAATGAATTAAAGGCTTAAATCTAAGACCTCAAACTATGAAACAAATACAAGAAAACATTGGGGACAATCACCAAGACATTGGTCTGGGAAAAAATTTCTTGAGCACTACCCTGCAAGCACAGGAAACCAAAGCAAAAATAGACAAATGGGATCACATCAAGTTAAAAAGTTTCTGCACAGCAAAGGGAACAATCAACGAAGTGAAGAGATAACTCACAGAATATGAGAAAATATTTGCAAAATGCCCGTCTGACAAGGGATTAATAACCAAAATATATAAAGAGCTCAAATGACTCTATAGGAAAAAATTTAATAATCCAATAAAAAATAGACAAAAGATTTGTATAGACATTTCTCAAAAGAAGACATACAAGTGACAAACAGGCATACGAAAAGGTGCTCAACATCATTGATCATCAGAGAAATGAAAACCAAAATTACAATGAGATATTATCTCACTCCAGTTAAAATGGTTTTTATTCAAAAGACAGGTGATAGCAAATGCTGGAGAAGATGTGGAAACTAGGGGAACCCTTGTACACTGTTGGTGGGAATGTAAAGTAGTACAACCACTATGGAGAACAGTTTGGAGGCTCCTCAAAATCTAACAATAGAGCTACCATATGATCCAGGAATCCCACTGCTGGTTATATATCCAAAAGAAAGGAAATCAGTATATCAAAGAGATATCTGCATTCTCATGTTTGTTGCAGCACTGTTCACAACAGCCAAGATTTGGAAGCAACTTATGTGTCCATTAGCAGATAAATGGATAAAGAAAATGCAGCACATATACACAATATTCAGAGTACTATTCAGCCATAAAACAATGAGATCCTGACATCTACAACAACACGGATGGAACTGGGGGTCATTATGTTAAGTGAAATAAGCCAGGCACAGTAAGACAAACATTGCATGTTCTCAATTATTTGTGGGGTCTAAAAATCAAAACAGTTGAACTCACAGAGATAGAGACTAGAGGAATGGTTACCAGAGAATGGGAAGGATAATGGATACAACAAAAAATAGTTAGAAAGAATGAATAAGACCTAGTTTGACAGCAAAACAGGGTAATTATAGTCAATAATAATTTAATTGTGCATTTTGAAATAACTAAAAAATATAATTGGATTGTGTTTAAAACAAAGGATAAATGCTTGGGGGGACAGATAATCCAATTTCCACGATATGATTATTATGCATTGCATGCCTGCATCAAAATGTCTCATGTGCCCCATAATATATATACTTTGCATATGGCAAGTTGGCTGATTTTTGTTTTTCTCCTTTGCTAGATTGTGATAAAGATATATACCTAGTATGTACTCACAAAAATTAAAAATTAAAGAGTATGTGAGACAAGTTTTTCCTAATGAAGACAGGCTGTTCCCAGCAATTAATTACTTCGGAAAGAGAAAATAATTGGAAGATATTTAATAAAATATCAATGATATGGGCATATGCTTTGGATAAGAACAGAATTCACTGAAAACACAGTCCATTAACTGGCCACTTCTCTGACGACCCATTCTGTATTTCACTTCCTCGAACTGAAATTTGCAAATGAGCCATCTTTGCCTTTCCTGGCTACATCAGGTATACTTTGCATATGGCAAATTGGCTGATTTTTTGTCTTTCTCTTCTGCTAGATTGTGAGTAACTTGAAGGCAAGGACTAGGTCTTAGTCATCTTTTATGTTTCAAGTACCTGGTACAGTGTTTGGAACATAGCAAATGTGTAAAAAATTGTCAAAGGAATGAGTGAGTGGATGAGTGAATGACTTTCTATTCCATAAGGCAGCTGCACTTTCCTAAATTGGGAAAAGTTGACAGATTAAGCCCTCAGGGAAAGAAGGATGCTACTTCCAAAAGAATGCTCAGCACTTCTCTGGGAACATAAAATGCAGGTTCCAGAATGTATTCTCACATGGAGTGACACAGACCAGCAATCAGCACTCTGAAGTGGATCTGACAGGAATGTCAATGGCCATGTTGTGATTAATAATGGAGGGACAGTACAGGCACTCAGAAAAGAGCAGCTTGCACTGCCTAATTTCCTCCATTATCAATTCAGCTAAAGTACCCAGACAACTTGATTCAAGTTTTCATAGCTGTTAAAATAACTACCTCATTCCTATTTTACTGAATGGGTGCCTTTCTTTCAACATGTGGCTATTATAAAGAAACTGATGTATTGTTTGCTTAAACAATAGAAAATCATTGTATAACAGAAGCCCTGGAGAATGAGTTAAATGGGTCTATTAGCTGTTAATTTTCACAGAAAAGAATTAAACATACATCTCCGAAAGTTTGAAGATGCACACTCCATCAAACTCTACAATCTATGCCTTTGTCCTCTTTGAATACTGAAAGCTTAAGTACCTTTCAACCCTAGAGTATTCTTGGGAACATACCTGAGATTTGTATGATTCTAGCACAGTCTGTGAATTTTCTGGCACTCATATTTATTTCTACATCTATGTACCCTAAGTAGAGGTTAAAAATGCATGGCATTTGAAGTCCTTTCAGAATCTGTTACCTGTGGGAAAAACTCCAAACTTTTAATCTAGAAAACTATTCGCCATGGAATAAAAGGTTACAGTATAGGTAGGATTGATTTCAGTGGAAGATTAGACAATGGGAAAAAGAATGCTTTTAACTAATTTGCTCCACGTGTGTGTGTGTGTGTGTGTAAATGCAGAGATAATAGAAATTATGGGGGAGAAGATTTACAAATTAATTCTATTTAGTTGTCTAAACAAATAAAAAGTAAATGTCCTTATCAGGAAAAAAAGTGGTTAAAACTAATTCATGGCCTAGAAAAATTATCTTTTCTCATCGGGCATCCCTCAGAAAAGCATTATTTTCAATAATATGCTTACTTCATACAACCACTTGCAAAGAGACAACCATTATGCCACTTCAGTTAGCTGAAGATTTTACTGATATTTTGGCCTATGGCATTTTTTCCCCTGTGTTGGAAAATTCATCAGTTAAAATCCACATTCAGAGGAAGCACTCAACTCTGAAATCACTCTGCTGACTCAAATTGTGTTCTGAAGGGAATTGGTCAGGCCACATTTGACACAACGAGGTACAACTTGGCAACATATGCTGAAGTGACACAGTCTGGGGAACAAGGAACAAAGCATGTCCTGCTGCCTATACCACGGGATCGCACATTATGTGCAAGAGTCTAAAAGACAAATGGACCCATTGAGTACTTTTCTTATTGGGAAAAGGAAAAAGAGGGTGAGAATGAGAGCAAGAACAAGAGTGAGAGAGAGAAAGACTCTTCGTTGAGTATTGTGTGTGCTGCATGTTTCCTGTGTATTTTTGAGGAGGAGATTATGAGCAACCACATTGTATATTTTGAAGCAGGATGAAAGAACCACATTTACCTGATTTATGAACAACTCACACAGAAAAAGCATCATTGTGCAGGAACAGAAAGTGTAATGTAATGGGGAGCCGAGCAAGAAGACATGAGGCAGATGAGAACAGAAGTAGCCTTTATTGAGCTCGCCGGCGAGGTTCACCAGTCCCCCTAGGAGGAGGGCCCAGGAAGTCGCACCTGGAGCAGGTATCAGGGGCCTTTTATAGGGCGAGGTAGGCAGGGTCTGTAGGTTTCGGTTTCCTGAGTTAGATTTCGATTTCTGAGGAATGACTTGTCCAGGAGTTTGCACAGAGCGGGTAGTTTTGGCGGGCTCAGGGTGCTTTTCTGGCGCTGAAAAGTCCTAGCAGGAAGTCCTAGTGGGTAAGTCCCGACAAGGGGCCCGCCATGTCAGGTGGTACCGCCATGTTGGGTCTAGGTCCCTGCCTAACAGAAAGTTATATAGGTAAATTAATTCAATCTACTTTTTAGAACACTGCACGTGGAAAGCAACACAGCATTTATAAATTAAGTATAGTACCACGCATTCTGTTCAAAATAATCATTTCAAGAGCTTAATAAAAGGAAAGCAGGGGATACAATAATAGAAGTTTTGTTTCCCAGTTAAGACTTAGATTGAAATGATTTAAATGAACTTACTTAAAGGTAACCAAATTAAACAAATAAAATGATTTTATTTGTTTCAAACTAATAAAACTTCAGGGGAAAATAATTCAATACTTTAAAAGACATAGTTTAACAGATCACAATTTCTTCATTTGTTAAAAGAGGAAATTTTAGTAGATGATCTGTAAGATTTCTTGCAGGTCCAGAAGATTCTGTTTCTATCAAAGTAAAATAAGCAGCCTTTGTGAAGGATAAGAGATTGCACTGTCCCTAATTATAATCCTATTTACAGAACCCTGAAAGATAATCTAACAGTTCCAGGGTTCACTATTCAGATATATATTTTCAATTTTAAAATGTAGAATTAATTACATCTGTACACACAAAATAACAATAAGAACCAGGAAATAAATAAATACATAACAATGATATATTGACTATGTAAATGAATAGCAGTTGGCTTTCTTTTCAACTTAATCTCCACGAATTTTTGTATTAGTTGGTTTGGTATATCTTTAGCTCTGCCCTGTTTGAATAACAGTTATGATGCTGATTATATTAATAACAGATCCAAATCATTTGGGATCTATTTTGTGCTCCACATTTGACATATTTTCTTATTTAATCATCACAGTAATACTATGAATATGTGTTTCATCTGTTTTATAAAATGAGAAAATATGCACGCATCTCAGAGAGGTAAAGTAACCTACCTAAGGTCTCCCCCATCTATACAGTGACAATTCTAGAAATTGAATCTGTGTCCGACTGAAATCAAGGTGCTGCTATTCCACATGATAAAGGAACTGAGGGGAATATGCCCTGACGAAATGGGAGCTGGTGAAATAATCAGAAATTCAGAGCCAACACAATATCCTCAATATTCCCTCCAGACAACTCAGCTCTGATGACTTTGTCTGGACAACAGTCATTCTGACAGTGAGTCCCACTGGCATGGATGGAACCCCCTTTCTACCATTTTATCACACCAAAGGAGCCCTACTCCCTCTCTTCTGGGCCATTCTCTGCTCCTCCACACCAGCCCCCAAGTCCAACTCAGCCTGTAGCTTGGAAATCTCCTTCCTCTTCCCAGTCGCCAGTTAGTTGAAATCCCTGATGTGATTCCTGATGACTGGTTTAATGCACCTTCTCTCGGTAGGCCCACTCTGTTGAGGGGATAAAGATGAAAGATGATAGCAACGACAGGAGAAGCAATGCAAAAAGTTAGATATCCCAATAGAAGGCATAAGAGACCCTGCAATCCTACTCACTGGCCACAACAGGAGACAGATCCTTGGCCTTTTCCTATCCAGGATCTCCTCTATGTAGCAATGACAGCATGAGTAGAAAAGGAGAGGAGCATTGCAGGCATGTAACTGTGTGACTGAACAATGATGCAGACTGGACACAGGATTCTATCCCCAACAGTTTACTGACAGGCAAGCTTAGAGTCACAAATTTATGTAATACTACATATTTCCCTGTCCATGTTTTTTCTTCAACTCCACCAACATTCCCAAATAATATCTCCACACCCAGATTCCCAAATAATATCTATACCAACCCCAGGTCCTTTATTTAGCACTTCATATCTGCCCAAATTAGGCTTATGCATCACCTCCTTGCATGACCATGATATTTCAACCTGGACAGTAGTTTGATATTCTTACTGTTGCCAACAGGACCAGGTACATGATTTGAGAGGCCTAGCAGAAAGGAAAACATGGAGCCCCTTGTTCAAAAAGCATTAAAAATATGAAGAAGGCAACAACTGTCATTAAATCAAGTACAAAGTTCTTCAGAGCATGGGAAGCAGTGTAACTGCACAAGTGGCATACCTATGAAGCTAGCCCTGGGTGTCTGTTCAGTCTTTACTTGGTGAAAACCATACTCCTAGTTGGTTCTCTTTTAGGGAGGTAAAAACATATGATAACTCTATTATCAAAACTATGTAAAGCAGCAGATGTTTGCTTTTCATCATACCTTACAGTTCTCAGGTGATGTTAATAGGTTACCTATATTTCCCCGACATCGTAGTTGTGGTTTTCAACGCAAGCCTGCTCTCCCTACTTATTTCGCAACAATTTAAGACCAGCTTTGATATTTACTACCCATCATCTTTGTGCTCAGCACTGAACAAGCCAGGCAACCTACCATTATGAGCTGCCCCCACCTGTGTGATCTACACCAGCTTCTGGCTTCCAGCTCCTTGACATGAGCAAACCATAAACCCAATATCATGGTCCACTTCAGTGCCAGCAAACACAGTCAAAGATGACCAGCTCGTTCCCAAGCTCCCCAGACTTGGAATATTCCAGTGGAGATTCTGACACTGAGGATGTAAAACTGGATTTTTAATGTTCAGTCACTGTGATATTCCTTCGTCTGTGAATATAATTGATGATTTTAACATTTGTTAAACAGTGATGAAATACACATAAGATAAAATTTACCATCTTAATTATTTTTAACTGTATACTTTAACAGTGTTGAGGACATTTAAATTTTGTCCAACCTGATTACTATCTATCTCTACAACTTTTTTAGTTGTCTCTAACTTAAACTTCATACCCATTAAGCAAGTCCCTGTGTTCCCTGTCCTCCAGGCTCCTGGAAACCACCATTTCACTTTTTGTCTCTACGAATTTGACTAGGTACCTCATAAAAGTGGAATCATACAGTATTTCTCTTTTTGTGATGGATCATTTGATTTTAACTTTTGATGTAAATTTTTCAGGTGAGTGTGGAGACCTGGAAGCAAGTCCCTTTAGGGGCATCAACAGACAACCAGTAAGTTTTAGGGAATTTGCTTATTCCCATAGGAAATAACAACCGAAAGGGAGAGTTGGATCTGTTCCCTGGGTTGGAAATATTCTCATCACCACTTCCCCCAGGCAAAGTCTCTTTTCCGGCTGGGCATGGTGGCTAATGCCTGTAATCTCAGCACTTTGGGAGGCCAAAGCTGGTGGATCACTTGAGGTCAGGAGTTTGAAACCAGCCTGGCCAACATGGCGAAACCCCATTTGTACTAAAAATACAAAAAAAAAAAAAAAAAAGGCTGGGCATGGTGGTGGGCATCTGCAAACCCAGCTAGTTGGGAGGCTGAGATACCTAAACTATGAGAATCGCTTGAAGCAGGGGAAGGAGGTGGGGGGCAGAGGTTGCAGTGAGCAGAGATTACGCCACTGCATTCCAGCCTGGGCAACAGAGTGAGACTCTGTCTCAAAACACAAAAACAAAAACCAAAACCAGTCTCTTTTTCCTTTTCTTCTCATTTATCAGGAAGAATGTTAAAAACCTTTGAGGTCAAATGTCTCAATCTACATTTGCAAGGTGGTCTTTTTTAAATTGATTACTAAAGAAGAAAAATAAGCCTTTTTGTCTCATGATAATAAGACAATAATTTAGGTAACCAAACCTGCAAACTTGCCCACTGTTAGATATTTAATGAGTCTTTTTTTTTTTTTTTTTTTTTTTGACTAATCAGCAACTCATTTCTGTTTTACCTCTCCTTAGTTCACCCTTTGTACTGGAAACACTTTGCCTACATATGCAGATCGTTGCAGGCTGACCTTGATGAATGGTCTGTGTTTGTGTAATTTAGATTAGTTCAGTAATTGTTTGGAACAGAGGCCAGCAATCTTGCCAGGGGTATTAAACATTCACTTTCAGGACTTGGTGGTCTGTGAGGAAGGAAAGGTCAGACCAAGGTTGCTTTACCACCTTCTCCCAAGGTCATGTCTACTTTTGCTCTCTTTAAGCAGTTGCCCAGAATCCATCAGCTGGAAGCTGGCTGGAAAGAGGGAGGGCTGATTCCCTAGATTTTCCTGGAAGCAGAGATGTAGTAAAAACTGGCTAACTTTAGAAAAAAGTAGAGAGCAAAGCTAAATCGAAAAAGGTAATAAAAGTGTTCCTATGGCCTTTAGATAGGACAAATGACTTTCTGTAGCTCTGCTTTCAATAACCAGTACACTGGAATTGTTCCTGAGAAGCTAGATAGCTGACTTGTAGTTTTACAATATACTTTAAGTTTGTTTTATTATATGGAACTACTTTTTTTTCTTTTAAAATATTTGGGAACTCCTATGAAGTACAAGTAAGAATATGGTAGCCTCTAAGAATTCCAGAGTCTGATCTCTATCCCTTATTTGCTCTGACAATACGCTCAGTTCTGAACAGTTTTCATGATGAGATAACTCACTTGCCATGTCAGCCTCTGTTGGAGTACCTCACTGCTTAGCGTTCTCCTGCTTCATCTATCCAAAACTGTTTCCTTTAATGTATTCTCTGAGCTTCTAGATTCGATATCCACGAACGCTGCTATAATTTCTATCTGTTATTCTTTTCCCAGCTATATAAGCCTTGGATCCTTTATATGTCAGTAATCCTTTACATAAGATGCTTGGATCCTTTGTCATCTGCTGTGGTTGCAAATTCTCTCATGCCATGGTTGTTTCTCCTAACATGTTCTAGTTGGTTTATAGACCCAAACACAGTCACAGGCCAGGCTGACTGCCTCAGAGCAGAGCAAGACTAACACCAACCCTACACTCCCATGTTTAATGAAGCACTATTCACAATAACAAAGATACAGAATCTACTTATAGTCCTTCAATGGATGAGTAAAGAGAATGCAGCATATATACACAGTGGAATACTATTCAATAGCCATAAAAAAGAATGAAATCATGTCTTTTACAGCAAAGTGAATGGAATTGGAGGTCATTATCTTTTATTTTTCATTTTTTATTTTTTTGAGATGGAGTCTTGCTCTGTCACCCAGGCTGGAGTGCAGTGGCACAATCTCGGCTCATTGCAAGCTCTGCCTCCTGGGTTCACGCCGTTTTCCTGCCTCAGCCTCCCGAGTAGCTGGGACTACAGGTGCCTGCCACCACACCTGGCTAATTTTTTGTATTTTTAGTAGAGACGGGGTTACACTGTGTTAGCCAGGATGGTCTTGATCTCCTGACCTCATGATCCGCCCGCCTCGGCCTCCCAAAGTGCTGGGATTATAGGCGTGAGCCACTGCGCCCAGCCCTGGAGGTCATTATCTTAAGTGAACTAAGTTAGACACAGGGAAATACCACAGGTGCTTACCCATAACTGGGAGCTAAACAATGTGTCCACTTGGGCTGGGCACTGCACACCTGGGCTGGGCATGGTGGCTCATGTCTGTAATCTCAGCAATTTGGGAGGTTGAGGTGGGAGCACTGCTTGAGCCCAGGAGTTCATGACCAGCCTAGGCAACATGGTGAGATCCTGACTCTACCAAAAAATTTTTATCTTCTAATTAGCTGGGCGTGGTGGTGTGCACCTGTAGTCCCAGTCACTTGGGAGGCTGAGGTAAGAGGATCACTTGAGCCCAATAGGTCCAGAGTGCAGTGAGCTGTGATCATGCCACTGCACTCCAGCCTGAGTAACAGAGTAAAATCCTGTCTAAAAAAAACATGTACACTTGGACATAGAGACTGGAATGACAGACTATGGAGACTTGGAAGGGTAAGAGATGGGAGGTGGGTGGATCGTGAGAAATTACTTAATAGATGCAATGTACATTATTCAGGTGATGAGTACCCTGGAAGCCCTGACTTGGCCACTGCGCTATGCATGTAGCAGGACTGAACTTGTACCCCATAAATTGATGCAAATTAAAAATATGTGTACAATGCAAAAAATGGTCACATGGTCAGAAATTCAAACATGCCCTATAAGCATATATATGCTTATAATACTAAATCAATGATCTATCCTCCTCCACAACCTCTAGTTCCATCTCCTTCTTGTAAAGGCAACTACTAGATATCCTTTCAGTAAATAAATTCTTGATGTGCATAGCTAAGTAGTTAAATGGTTTGGAATGGGAGACTCAGCTGTTTCTTCCCCAAGCCTCATATATTTTTAAGAGGAAAGGGCCTCTGTAGCTGGAGACTGGCTGAAAAGAGCAGGCAGGCACCACAGATGTTACTGAGAACTGAACTGTGGTAATGCTGGCAAACTTTCTCAGGAAAAGCAGAAAGCACAGCCAAATCACAGTGTTTATAAACACAAGCCTGTGGCCTTTACATTTGATAGGTAAGAAGTAGTACTTCCTTGTTTTGATTGGTTTTCCTTTAATTATAAATGAGGTTGAGCCTTTCTTGGGAAATGTATTAGCCATTTATATGAA